CGTTGACCTGAAATGGGATAACACCTTTAAAATCTACAATTAATGAAATCTAAAGATTTCTTCTTCACTGATGATAATAAATAACATTTCAAACTTGTGAGGAGAATCTGAATGCTATGGGTCAATATTGCTAATGTTAAGAGATTGTTGACTATATTATTACTCACATCCCCTCAACCAGAAGTGGCATAAATGTTATGCTTTCAAGAATAAAAGGAATCTTGAGAGTTTTGTTTTCTGAACATTGTCATTCACATTTACAACCTTTGAGAAACATGTACTTTGACAACAAGCTGTGCATATGAAACTACATAGTTTTAAAAAAAGCTTCGTCCCCTTCACAGCTGTAATAGGCTAACTGACCATCATGGAGGGACTGACTGCACAATGTATGACATTGTGCTAGGTCTGTACCTGCCTTGATAGAAACCACAGAAAAGAGGTAAAAAGTAAAGGTATAATGACTTACCTACACATTCTCGTCTTTCAAAGAAATATTATCTTAGAAACTTCAGCTACTTGGCCTTCAACAGCAAGGACCAGACGACCATTTTGATCGAGTTGTAAAGGAAGGCTAACTCTTACTGTTGCTTTGTCTTGCAAATATTAATGTCAATGATGACAGAGCATGAGATAACAAGTTCAGTTCTCCATTAGTAATGGGTTTATTAAATATATGTTATCTGTCTTAAGTTGGTAATTTTGAAACCTTTCTAAATATTTCAATCATATCAAATAATATCATTAAGATTCCATATGGTCTCCCCAGAAATATGAGGACATTTTGCTGGCAAAACGGTTATGAAAGCTTCAACGTTTTTATGTCAATAAGCTACCAGGAATGGTTCAATGAGTTTCCCAGTTATTTTAATACTGACCAGGAAGGAGATTTTGTCATACCGGGTATTATATATGTATTTTTTCCTTTAAAACAATGAGAAAAAGAATAGGGTGGTGGGTGAATCAAAGGAACATTAAAGAAATCTTTTTTTAACAAGAGAAATCTTTTTCAACAATTTCTACTCTAATATTTCTATATGTAATTAGTTTCTTTTATTTTTTAAGTTAGACTTCCAAGATGAAGCACAAACTTTCTCACATCCTGCATCTGCTATGCATGGAAGCAGTTACATGTACCTCCACCATTAATATAAGAAAATAGTTGCTTTTATCATCATGTACACAATAATCAAATGGAGCGATTTTGAATAATTGTTACCACTAAAATCTAACATAATAATGATAGTAATATTTACAAAAAATGACTTTGGGACTTGAGAATACAAACAAAAATACACACATCAGTTGCCAGACGGCTGTGAGGTGTTGGGGCTTAGAAATCCCTTGAAAAGTACAAATTCAACTGTACCCCTTTCAACTCTGACAGTAGTTGAAAATATAGGGGATTGAGTTTTGCCTTGCGCCTTGCGGTCACGGAAGCGGAAACAATTGAAATCACTGAACCAGAAACAATAGAAATCCGTGTAGGAGTTCGAGAATCACTGAAGCGGTAACAGAAGCAATGTACTGGCTCATAGTTTTCACAACATACCTTGACATTCCTTTCGTTTCCATATAACTTAAAGGTGAAATAGAAACTAGGTTGTTGGAAATTCCCAAATGTGAGCTTAAAAAGGTTGGAATTTGTATTATAACACAGTTAGTCTCTGACATGCAGTGAGAATGGAAGTAGATCTCTGTACAGATTCAGTACCTTGTAAGTCTATTGTGGTGTCCACAGACTGGACCCTGTTTGAAAGAAGACTATCTTCGTTTAAAGACTGGCCAAAGCAAATGAGTCAATCTCCAGTTGATTTGGCCCATGCTGGATTTATCTACTTGAACCGTGGCGACGTCTGCCGTTGCTTTAAATGCAACATACGTCTTAAAGGATGGGAAGACAATGACAACGTTTGGATTGAGCACGAGAAGTGGTCACCAGACTGTGCCTATATCAAAATGGTTGGTGTCATGAATAAAAAGAAGACCACACCTTGTGAAGCAATGAAGTGGAAACTGTGTTAGAAGATAAATATTCAACCAATGACAATACATTATGTTTTCATAAGAATGTCCTATGTTCAAAGTCATCCAATCAGCTTTCTAGAAGTTGTGTTGACAAAGAGACAACAGCACATCAACATGTTCATCCAATAGATTTAAAAAAATCTTAGTTATTGGCATGACATATCATACATTAATGTGATACGTCAGTCATTTTCATTGCTGTACTCGTTTTGGAAGGTTGTGTTTGACTTGCACGGTCATGTCTATGCTGATAACCAACAAGTATGTATTTTTCTTTACTAAAAGATCGCCTTTCAGTCAACATTATCCAACGCTTATTACACTTGATGGCAAGACATTCAATTGTGTTGAACAATATTACATGTATAGCAAAGCTTGTGCATTCAAAAGATTTTAGAATGTCCATCCCCTACTGAGCAAAAAACAAAAAACAAAAAAACCAAAAAAAAAAACCAAAACAATTTGGATCATGACAGAGTATATTTCTTCTTCTTCTTTGACAGACATCAAACCATGTTCTACACATGGAAGTATGTGATGCTTGAACCAGATCGATTAGACGAATCCTTCATCATTCAGTCGTCTCAGTGGTTTCAGGACCGCGAGCAATGTGTTCAAAGTGCCAAACATAACTTTCAAGATGACACTAAAACAAGTAAACGCGTGATTATCAAGAAACTGTGGCCAACAAAGCTTCAAGTGGATGAAGTTGATCCAGTGCACACTATCCAACATATCGAGTCTTTATTAACTTTATGCTATACATTTGAGTTAAGTAAGATCATCAGACGACTCTCTACAGAATTTTGCTTTGGCTGCATGTTTGAACAGGAAGGAGAACCTGTTCATACTTGTCGTGACCTGTCTGAAGAGAACAAAGTTCAACACTATTTTAATATGGCCTTGTTGGAAGTCAGTGATGATCACGTGATTGGAAACTGGATAAACCTGATTCGAGATGACCCTGACTTACAGTCCGTGTCTCCCCTTACCTTGTGTCAATATCAATGTAAAGATTACAGAGATGTCTATTCTAAGACACCCCTATGGGTCTCAGAGTTAAGAAAACATCTTGTAAAAATGTTGCAACTAGAAAGAGTTTTCCAATAAACATAATGTAGAATCATATGATCTTTTGTTGTCTCACAAACATGAAAGGTATAGAACATGTCTCATGTCATTTGTTTCATGACTATGGATTCGCACACATTACCAACTGATAACCAAAGCAAAGAACTGGAGCAGTATTATTTTACTCCCAAGGAAAGTGGTGCCTATTATGGGTTGAATAAATTTCAATCAAGTTTAAAACAGCGAGGTAAAAAGTATAGTCGCAGGAAAGTGAAAGCCTTTCTGGAAGGACAGGATGCATACACCCTTTATAAACCCGTGAAAAGGCACTTTCCAAGACTGAAAGTACGTGTCAACAGCTTGGATGAGCTTTGGGACATAGATCTCGCCCAGGTGACACAGAATAATGTCAGTGTCAATGACAATGTGAGGTATTTGCTGATAGCCATAGATATTTTGTCACGATATCTGTGGGTGGTACCTCTCCAAAATAAGAAACCTGAATCGGTGTTAGAAGGGTTCAATGTCATTTTGAAAGAGGGACGAATTCCCAAAAAGATCAGAGTAGACAAAGGTAAAGAATTTGAAGGTGTTTTCAAAGATTACGTCACAAAGCAAGGCATTAAGCTGATCGTGACACAAAATGAAGACATCAAAGCTAATTATGCAGAAAGGGTGATTCGAACCTTGAGATCTCTCATGACCAGGTACATGACACACAACAACACCAACAAATACATTGATGTGTTACCCGACTTAGTGTACAATTATAATCACACGGTACACCGAAGTGTTGGACAATGGACACCAGCTGATGTGACAAAAGCCAATGAAGTGCAAGTGTGGTCTCATCTGTACATGAAACCTCTCCAGACACAGTTGCAAAGCAAACAGAAATTTAAGAAATTTCAATTTAAAGTCGATGACCTGGTGAGAATCAGTTATTTGAAGAAACCTTTCAGCAGACAACACAATTTACAATACACTGAGGAGTTATTTAAAATAGTCGCTCGCCAGCGACGCCAGGGGATACCACTGTACACACTTAAAGACTTTCATGACGAAGTGTTAAAGGGGCGCTTTTACGAACAGGAGCTCCAGAAAGTCAACAAAGACATAGATGGTATTTGGAACATTGAAAAAGTGATCAGTAAAAAGCAAGAGAAAGGTAAAGTGTATTACCTGGTGAGGTGGGCTGGATGGCCTTCCAGTTTTGACTCATGGGTAGAGAAGAGTCAGGTACAGAATAAACAGTAAAAAAAAAAACCCAAAAAAACCAACAACAAACAAACAAACAAAAAGAAAAAGAAAAAGAAACCACACAAACAAAAAAACACACACAAAAACCCACAAAACATGGATAAATATATTGTGTTTAACAGTTCAGATTCTAAAAAACATTACTTTTCCAGTAACACACCCTATAGTTTTCGTGTCAAGCTATCCCAACGTCTGCACTTGGATGGGACGTGGTTGGTGGCTTTAGCCGAACTTCGATTTGGTAAAGTAGACTTGAAAGACATCAATAACCCAACCATTGACATTCTCTGCAATCTGTGTGACAGTTCATGCGCTGGTGAAGACTACATCCCTTTATTGAGACGTATTGACTTGAGAGATGGACCCACCTATGATTTTCATCACTGGTGGTTTGTACCAGTGGTGGTGAAAGACACACACGACATAGAAATCTATATAAAGTGTGCACAAGGAACACAGCATTCATTTCTGAAGGAAGACGTGAATGTGGCACTTGTTCTGCGTCACTATCCCTTTGTGTAATCCTTGTCATGGATCAAAGACTGTATATTCCTGATGTCCAGAAATGGATCAAATTCTTTGAACATAGACATCAACAACAGGCAACTAAATCTATTATGAAAGGTCGCCCCAGGAGAACAATGATTCCCATTCTCTCCTTGCAAAAGCAGCTGGATACTCCCTGTAGTAAAGCAGAGCCTAAAATAGAAGTGACGTCACAGAATGAAGATGTTGTGAAACGAGCAGAAGCCTCTCAGAAGCGGAGCAAGCATATAAAGAGGCAAGCTGGAGATAAAATCATCACAACAAAGAAAGTCCGTCGGACAGGTCACAACAGTAAAGGTACCTCTTCCATTCTTCAGTTTAAAGACACACCCACCGTTGGAGAACGAGACGTGTTCACTAAACCTTAACGACATGTCAGTGCTCACCGAGAAACAATTTTATAGAAGCGCTACCATCTAGTTTAGACCTGTTTGAATTATCGCCTTATCAGACCAGCATCTTACAGCATTATTATGTGGATGTGCGTCCCCTCTCTGCCATCACAGACACCAGTCCAGTGGAATTTCTCATCCCCGGAGATGTATAAAATTGTATAACAGCAAGTATAAAGTCAAGAAAATAAGACAATTTTTGAATGACAAAGATGCTTATTCGCTGCATAAGCCGGTGAAATATAGGTTTCCACGTTTGAGAGTTCGGGTGAACAGCCGAGATGAAATGTGGGATATTGACTTGGCAGATGTGAGTCGTTATGCTAAGAAAAATGATGAAATACGATATTTACTAATCGTTATTGATATCCTCTCTAGGTATTTGTGGGTTGTCCCATTACTGAATAAAAAGACTATGACGGTCACCAAGGGGTTGAGAACAATCTTCAAAGAAGGTCGTTTTCCGATAAAAATTCGCGTTGACAAGGGCAAGGAATTTTCTGGAGAGTTTAGAATGTATGTGTCTAATCAAAACATAAAGCTGATTGTGACTCAAAACGAAGATATAAAGGCTAATTATGCCGAGAGAGTCATTAGGACGTTGAGAACGCTCATGTCTAGATATATGACACACAACAACTCTGAAAAATATATTGATGTGTTACAAGATTTAGTGTATAACTATAATCATAGTCAACATAGAAGCCTCGGACATTGGGCCCCTGCTGATGTGACCAAGACAAATGAACTCAAAGTGTGGAAGCACTTGTACGTTAGATCCATGCTGATACATGTAAAAAGCAAGAAGCCTTTCCATAAATTTGAGTATAAGGTGGGTGATATTGTACGTGTAAGTTATTTGAGAAGAACCTTTAGTAAAGAACACAACCTACGCTGGACTGAAGAATTATTCAAAATTGCTTCGCGAACACGACGACAGGGTATACCTATCTACACGTAGCCAGACCATCGTAAGCGATTTAACAAAGCCTTGGGGTAGATACTCAAGATCCTGACTGAAGTATATATATATATACTACGCGCGGACCTCAGAGCGGATAATCTCTCGTGGACAGCAGGCGAATGCAATAGTTTTGTTGATTTTATTTCCATCTCAAAAAGCGTATTTTGTTACAATGTTAATAATCGTTCACACATCAAGAACCAGTCACTGTGTACCACAAATACCTAAGAAATCAGCCAGGAAGAGGGGAACACGGAGACACACATTTATGTCCACAGCGACCCCAGCCTGTCGTGTCGCACACGTTCGTTTGACTAATACATATTTAAACATACAATGGATTTGTTTACCGAATAACACGATAGCGCCGCTCCAGTGAATATCACGCTCTACTCAACATTTAGTGTTTAACATGCATTAATTCCCTGGAGCAGCTAGAAACTAATTAATGCACATCCAAATGTTTACAATAGTAATCAAATTAATGATAAAAATAATAATTTGTTGAGTGTTCTGTTCTGCTGGACGATACAGAAATGAGTGTCAATATCAAATCGGCACAGCCCCTGTTTGACGAGTTTGGGAGACAATATGAGTAACTGAGTTTTGAATTTTCTGCAATGTAGTAATTCAGAGATTTAAAAAAATATGAATTGTAGTAATTTTGACATACGAGTGTTTGTATGAGAAACTTGGCTGTCTGATTGCCCAGGATTTTGCTGCTGGTGTAAAAGTGAAGAAAAATATAAGCAATACCATATTTATAAGAAATCTTGGCCAAAAGCGACTGTACGATTCCGACTATACCATGAGCATGTGTTCATGAATCACTTATAAATATTCATCATGCCAGATGTTCGCGATAAGGTGAGCATATCCTGCCGCACCTGTGGCATAAGCCACAGACACATGCACAATCAATAAATAAAAATGACAAAACCCTTTCCATATTCAATGGAAATCTCTGTCGATTGTAGGATCCCCAGTATATCATGAACATGTGTTTATGAATCACTATCAAATAGTAATGATACCAGGTGTTCGTGAAAGGTGAGCATATCCAGCCCCAACGGTGGCACCCGTCACAAACACATGTGAAGGCAAGTCAATTGTTCACCTAAAAAAAAGCATAAGAACACATGGTACAAGTCGAAATAGGAAACAGCATCGGACATCATTTTTGTCACTTTACGTCAAATTTGGAAATGTCCTTCACATGTCTCCCATTACGTTTTGAAAGCTTCACTGGGGACTTGAATGTTGTAACTTTGATCAAACAAATTCTGAGCAAGAGTCGCCCTTTGACATCTTGGTAGGAAGAGCATGCCCGATTGTATCTCAAAAGTTGTAAAACGTAAACACAGAAGACTGGAGCTGCTGGAATATTGTTCGACATGAAGGGGAAGTTGACTATTGGAAAGTTGAAGTCATCCCTTTGTCATACAGTCTTGTGGAGAATCTGAATCGTTATGCATAAATCTAAATCTGAAACAAATGAGGCGGACACACTGGCCTCCTATATTTCTAGTTCAGATAGGTTAATAAGTGGAAGGGAATTGGCTATTTGATGGTTATTGAACGATATCAGATCATCAATGTACCTGAAGCTTAAGTTAAACTTCTTGGCCAAATTAACATGTTTTGACTTTGCCATTCCGTGTAGACATTTCCGATTCATATGCATACAAAAACAGATCCACAAGAATGTGAACACAATTGGTGCCCATGGGGATTCCGCCTTCTTGCCAAAATACCTTATCCCCAAATTTTACATTAATTTTATCAAGTCCAGCATTTCACATATTGTTTCCTCAGTAATCTTCAGATAGCATTTGCTTTCAATTTTGAAAAATTTACCTTAACCTCTGAATATGGGTACGTAACTGTATCAGTGGTCATCATTTTTGTAACAAAAGACCATTGAATCAAGGCATAAAGTGTGTCACGTGGGATAGTGGTGTACAAAGTTGAAAAATCAAATGTTTGTAAAGAATAGAATGTCAAGTCAATTGTTCACCTGAAAAAAACGGAACATTTGCAACAAGTTAAAAAAGGGAACTGATCTGACATGATTATTTTCTTTGATGCAACAAATTTTGAAATGTCCTCCGCATTTTTACCGTTAAACGGTTGTGAAAGCTTTGCTGGCGACCGATTTAAGTTTGATCAAGCAACTTTTGAACAAGAGTCGTACGGCGTTCTTTGAAATCACTTTGAAATCTTGGTGGAAAGAAACATGATTTGCAGAGATAGTTGACATATTCCTAGTGACAATTTGGAAGGAAAGAAAAGTTTCACGCTGCAGCAGAGACTTTGACATCACCGTTTACAAATTTGATAGAACAGCCAGATAGAATCTTCAGGGGTAGTTGTCTTGATCCTATTGTGGGTAACTTGATTTTGTTATCATTCAACTTGAGATATTTAACATACACCTACAGCTCTATCGTATTTGGTAAAGACACCCAATATATATTCATGTATTAGTCACACGAATGTGCAACGTGACAGGCTGCCGTCGTCGTGGTGTTTTCTGTGTGTCTCATTGTTCCAGTCTTCTACTATCAAGGTAGGCAGCTGTATTACTTCTCTGTAATAATGTGGATGTGTGTGTGTTTGTTTTGTGTGTGTGTGTTTGTGTGTGTTATATCGTGTGTGTGTGTGTGTGTTACAACGTGTGTGTGTGTGTTACAACGTGTGTGTGTTACAACGTGATTGTGTCTGTGTTACAACGTCTGTGTGTCTGTGTTACAACGTGTGTGTGTGTTTCATGTCGTTTCTGTGAAGATGTACACACTCCACCTGAGGTATCACAGGCCACCCTCCCTTCTACCTTGAGACAAACTCCCTCCCTGGCACAGTCCACACACATGATGAAACAGTCCACACAAGGCCACATCCATGGTATAATAAAAATAAAGTTAACTAATTATCATTAATAATTTTTTTAGATGTAACAGTTATTGTTGTTGGGTTTTTATTTAAAGGAAGGAAAGGAGAAACAAATGCATAAAGCATTATGTTTTTTTAATATTTTTTTCATTTCAAAATTAAAACAGAAAAGAAAAGAAAAAAATTCTCCTTTCCTTCCTTCATGGTTTTTTCATCAAGTATGAACTAGTGACTTCAGTGAGCACTGAGAGTTTTATCAACCCAGTTGGATTCTGTGTCCCAGTCATAACAGTATGTGAAAAGAGTTATGTAGACACACAAAAAAATTGTTCCAAGTTCATAGTCAGTAACCAATATTGGGTGAGGTTTATCAAGCCAGCTGGATTTGATGTCTCAGTCATAAACAGTGTGTGGTAGAGTTTTTCTTTAACTGCACTCAAAATGACCTAAGATCATAGTCAGTAACCAATACCTTGTGCCCAGCGAACTGTCAAGTGTCCTGTTCCACTGACCTAGTCATCTATTATTGCTACTGGTGAAGTGTACTGTAACTGTGTCAATGATTTTATCACTGAAGTGTATCTCATGTCATCACTGAATGCCATTCAGTAATTGCTTCTTTTACCGCTTCAGTGATTCTCGAACTCCTACACGGATTTCTATTGTTTCTGGTTCAGTGATTTCAATTGTTTCCGCTTCAGTGACCGCAAGGCGCAAGGCAAAACTCAATCCCCTATATTTTCAACTACTAGTCAGGTCTTGATGATTAGTAAAGGAGATGAGTTGCTTCTGTGAAGATGTCTCATACTAGCAATGGTGCGCAGGTTGTACCTGCAAATCGCAGTTGATGTGTGACTCCATGGTAATTCCCGGCTCGAGATGAACCCCAAGAGTCTTAACTAAGTCTCCAAGATGGGTGGCTGTCTCCTTGTGCACGTGTACAGTGAATCCAACCTGTTGACAGAGTGATGAACTTAAAACCATATATGCGAGAATTATTATATAGTTTGGTTGGTGACCACATCAGGTGTGTGTTGTGTGTGTGTTCCATGTGGACGTACTGTTGTAATGTAAACACAGAACCTGAATTAATCAGTGATGAGTTGCTTCTGTGAAGATGTCTCATACTAGCAATGTTGTGCAGGTTGTACTGGCTTTCTCAGAATACTTCAACAAAATGACCGCAGACCGGAAGAGTGAGGGTACTCATCAGTCAGACTCACCTTTACCAATCAAATAGTATATGCAATTCTACAACCAGACTAAGGTACTGATTATCATTTCGGCAAAAAAATGAAAACTGTCCAGATCTGAGGTAGTTGTCATGATATGTATAATGTTTCATTATTAATATGATTTGTGTAATTCAGTATCGACTGTCATAGTGTGTAAGCTATAATTTTCTTTTTTGTTGAGATATAAAAAGCTTTTATATATCAATAGAAAGAGCATAAAAGGAGCTTTCAATTGATATGTATCATGTCTATGTGTCACTACATCAACAACAGTTATATTTTGATACATGACCAATAGCGGATGAGAAATGGTGGCAAGTTTTAAATCCAATATGGCTGTCACGTTCGAGTTCGTGGAAAAACGTTCATCATCATTTTTCATAAACAGTGAAGAAGTTTGATGGTTTGAATTCTTGTTGCCAAGATTGTACCCAATACAATGACTCCTTTGCATTAGCCCAAGATCCGTGTTTCGATGCAATGCCTTACAGCACAATAAACTATTATATAACGTTCCCAACAGTTTATAAAGAAAATGCTCCTTGTGTTGTGTTTTATACCCAAACATGACTTCAAATCATATGGGACTGTATTATGAATAGGACGGTTCACTCTCAACATTGGTTTGCGCACGTTTTACTTACGAATTAAACATCGAGTAATTCAAGAAGGACATAATTTGATAAGCAGATAATTAACCCTTGTGTGTATCGTAATATCATTTGTCATCCAAAACTGGCTTCCACGGGAGATATCGCTTGGGTGAGATCATGCGATATCTACATTGTAGCAGTACTTTTTACACTTAAGACACTGCTTATTACTGTCTACAAACTGAAAAAGTTGGAAGAATGATGTTGGATGATAAACGAAATCTCACCCTCGTGTCTTTTGATATCAAATACATCACAACATTCGTTGACAAAAGTGGAAAGGATCCTCGGCAAGCCTCGGAGTTTCTCCACTTTTATCAACTCGTGTTGATATATTTGATATCAAAAGACACTCGGGTGGGATTCTCAATATATCAGGAAGGTACCACAGCGAAAAGCTGACCAATCGTAGAGCAATCTTCGAGCTTTTATCATTGATGGTTATATGCTTCAAGTTTGAGGTATGGCTTTCTGTTATTGATTAGTGGCGTAAATAAAAGTCACAAATAATATTGATTATAATATTTATATTGATGAAGAGATCCTGTTGTGATTATGAATTACAAAAGAACAATGCTTTGGGGTAAATAGAACATATCAAATAACCAATATTAATGCGGAGAAAGGGTGTCTACACAAAATTACGTCATGCGGGTCTCAATTGTGATGATGACATTAACTAATAATATATTCTCATTCTTTATGATGGTTTTTGATACCCGATATACGAGCAATTGGCGCTTTTCAGAGGTTTGCCTTGTAGGGTGCTACTGGAATCGACGAGTGCTGATATAGCTGATACCAAAGGAAACTAACTGGGAGATAGTTATTCGTTATCCAAACAAGCCTCACACTTTATATTCCAACATTGCGTTCTCTGGTCTTCCTGAAGGTAAAGGCAATATTGTGTTATATATGGCTACAACCCTATAATCTGTGCATATTGGTGTAGATGCATCCCTGTGTTTCAAGGGGTTAAAGCGTTCTCTCGAGCTCCTCACGTCGGGTTCGACTCCCCACAAGAGTACAATGTTCAGAGCCAATCCGGATACCTTCCCACTGTGAATCCGAACCGGATACATTCCGGAATTCTTCCGGAAACCTTCCAAAAAAATGTCAAAAGGGGGGTGCATTTGGTTCAATTAAGTGTGAGTGAGTGAGTGAGTGAGTATGGTTTTACGCCGCTTTTAGCAATATTCCAGCAATATCACGGCGGGGGACACCAGAAATGGGCTTCACACATTGTACCCATGTCGGGAATCGAACCCGGGTCTTCGGCGTGAGGAGCGAACGCTTTAACCACTAGGCTATCCGACCGCCACCTATTAAGTGTGAAACACATAACAAAATATCTGAAAATTCACTTCTTTTGCTGTGTGGTATATTGCTTACAGCGGCGTAAAACACACGTCACTCATTCACTCACTTTTGTGTTTCAGGCCTCCCTGGTGAAATGTACATGCGGATGCTACAGATGATGATCTTGCCCCTCATCATATGCAGCGTCATCACAGGTAAAGGCAGCCTTGTGAAGCCAAACTTTCTTCACAGCTTGGTTTACGGATATTTTGTGAAAACTCCTGGTGAAATTTAGCAACGACATCTCAGATTTTTTTATCATTTGGATGTAACACCAAACCTTTTTAGCTTGATTTGCGGATGTTTCGTGAAAACGCCTGATTCGTACGCGGACGCATTTTCGTACCAACAACATCTCAGATGTTTTGGTGTTTTTCAAGAAATCATTTGGATCTATTGCCATGTGTTTAGTGTTCAGGAAATCGATCTTCTCAGTCTTACATTTTGAAGCGGTATGGACATTTTTGTATGCGTTGAATATGTAACGTTTCAGTCAGCAGCATAACAAAAGAAAACAAATTTCTTTTTCCACCTTTAATTTAGGATCTGCCAATCTGTAAGCATATTATTAAAAGTCTGCTTATAATAATACGATTATATTAAACGTTTTCATTTTAGCACAATTAATAGACAAACTGAAAAGTTATTTGAAGACGCTTAACAATTTGAAATAATTGTATTCGGAAAGACATTTGTGTTTCGTGATTTCATATGAAAACGGGGCGGTCGGGTAGCCTAGTGGTTTAAGCGTTCGCTCGTCACGCCAAAGACCCGGGTTCGAATCCCGACATGGGTACAATGTGTGAAGCCCATTTCTGGTGTCCCCCGCCGTGATATTGCTGGAATATTGCTAAAAGCGGCGTAAAATCAAACTCACTCACTCACTCATATGTAAACATACATAAAGTTATTATCAACAGGTAATATCTTCAGCTCCAACATAAGGAAGGTCGGTGTTAAGGTGTATGGCTTCACAGATAGATCAAACTGTTTTGTTAGTGTGTCAAGTGATGACTTCTGCACCACGTGATGCAAAGGTCTACAGTCCAGTATGAGTGAGTGAGTATTGTTTTGCGCCGTTTTTAGCAATATTCCAGCAATATCACGGCGGGGGACACCACAAATGGGCTTCACACATTGTGCCCATGTCGGGAATCGAACACGGGTCTTATGCGTGACGAGCGAACGCTTAAACCACTAGGCTACCCGACCGCCCCCAGTCGAGTATGAGAAACACAATAGATCACACTGGCAAGTGACGTAACTGCGTCTAGCTGCATTAGGTGAGGTGAAATGGGGTTTAACGTCGAGTCCAAGATTATTGCCCTTATATAACGACGTGCTATACGTGTGTGTGTGTGTGTGTGTGTGTGTGTGTGTGTGTGTGTGTGTGTGTGTGTGTGTGTGTGTGTGTGTGTGTGTGTGTGTGTGTGTGTGTGTGTGTGTGTGTGTGTGTGTGTGTGTGTGTGTGTGTGTGTGTGTGTGTGTGTGTGTGTGTGTGTGTGTGTGTGTGTGGCTGCTTGTACTAGTCCGGACAGATGCCGATTTATAGTGCTAGCTCACTGAGATACCATGCCGCAGTTTAACATGAATACCCCACCCAGACACAGTATACTGACTTCAAGCCGACCTGTCCTTGTTTTAGCCCCTTGATGCCGAGCGCCAGACAGGGTAACAACAAAAACCATCTTTTAACGTCTTTTGGTATGATGCGGTCGGGTATCGAACCCCGGACCTTCCGCTCTCCTGGCGGACGCTCTACCACTAGACCACGGAGGCGGTCTTCTAGCTGCATTAACGAACGCGTGAATGATTACAGAAGACGTTTGTGTTTATGTTCATAGTTATGACAACCATTAAGATGAAATAATTGTTTTTGCCTCTTGTAATGTCTTGTCATTCTATAAAATGATGTGCGTAAAAAAATCTCTGAAACCAGGCCAGGCAGCTCCGAATTCGAGGGTAAATCGAAATGGTTGCTTTGTATAAAGTGAGTTTAAGCCACTTGCAATTGTTTGTAGAATATTATTTCTTGGGAGACATAAGAAAGATAAAAACATATAACTGCATCTGATTTTGAGAAATCCGCTGGAGACTGAGAAAAACTGCGTAAATGGAAAACAATTATTCCCCTAATCATGAGAACGATTAAGCGATTCCGACACCTGCTTCGTGGAGGTTTTACCAGAAGCGATGACGCGTGTGCTGCCGTCGAAGCCACGGCCTTTTCGATTTGGCCATCGTGTGTAGCAGTATTTTAATTATATATTAAGGAACACTGGAACAGGCTCTCCTGCAAGCAATACTTTACGCCCGTACTCTGTATCATATTATTCTGATGTTATTTTCCACGAAAATGAATCAAATGTAAGACCACACTGATGTACGTTTAAATCATTTTATGCTGAAGAAACCCAACTGTTCACATGGGATGATATGACAAACTTCTTACTTTGCTGACGTTAATGGTATTCATGTATGCACTTTGATGATGTCTGTGTTTGCTGCTGCAGGCACGGCCTCGGTTGACCCCAAATGTAACGGACGCGTCAGTATTGCAGCCTTAACCTACATCATGGTCACAAACACCTTCCCATGCCTCCTCTCTATAGCGCTTGCCTTCGCTATAAAACCAGGTAAGTTTGACAAGGGTGATGGATCCATCATTCTATATTCGGGGGGTGGGGGATAGGGATACTATCAGTCGCCGCGTAAAAATTGAGTTTTTAGGATAAAACCTGGAAACAAATGATTTTTTGGGAATAATACTTGTCTAAAAAAAATATCCCTGCTCAAGAATATCCAATGGTCGGACTCTTAAACATAGATAGTATGTGTGTCAGTTTTAGTGTGCTTATTCACATTCTTCTTAAAAAGCAAACATCAACTACTGATACAGAATAATCGATTTTAACGAAATCAAGTGTTACAACAACGTGGTCATCGTCGTTACTGCTTTTGTGAATGACGATCTTCGACTGGGTCTTAGACTATCTGAAAGGGTGGACAGGCGATCTCCCTTTTCTCGTAGACTGCGCGTGGACGACACTAAATAACACATAAATATCATCCATCCTCGGCTTTGAATGAAAACAAAAAGCGGAATACATGAATTATGCTTCAGAAGTAGAATTACTCTTGCCAAAGTTACCCCAGAAGAGCACTTATCACCCAACACAAACTATACAGGTGAACACTGTCCCATCTAGACCGCCTCCGTGGTCTGGTGGTAGAGCGTCCGCCCGGAGAGCGGAAGGTACGGGGGTCGATCCCCGGCCGCGTCATGCCAAAACGACGTTAGAAGATGGTACTTGTTGATACCCTGTCTGTCGCTCGGCATTAAGGGGCTAAAACAAGGACTGGTCGGCTCGGAGTCAGTATACTGTGTCTGAGTGGGGTATTCATGTTAAACTGCGGCATGGTATCTCAGTGGGCTAGCACTATAAATCGACTTCAGTCCGGACTAGTACAAGCAGCCACAAACACACACACACACACACAAACACACACACACACACACACACACACACACACACACACACACACACACACACACACACACACACGTGCATGCATAAGTGCAATAACCTTGGACTCGACGTTAAACCCCATTTCACCTTACCTGTCTCCATCTTTATTAACATTAGTGACGAAGGACGCTATGCATGTGCACACATAATCGGATATGGTAAAGTCTCGACTACTTGTGATCGTCGCCAAAAGCGCTGAGTGTCTGAGTAGTATAGGTAATGATGGTTCTGCCGCAACTCCACTGGAGCTGGATTTATATACCTATACCACCACTACAGGAGGAATTCTTTATGCCAAAATGATTATGCGATTCAACGATAGTCATGAGATTAAACTAAATTGACTCTAGCTGAAGAAGGCGTCTTTTTCTTGTTTGGCACCCCCGATTTCGGCACCCCTACAATATTTTCCACTAGAGCAATAGGATGTGTCCAAAGCATACAACTGTGCCAAACGAATTTCCAATTGAACATTTGTGCCCAACTACAGTATAGAACAAATATGGAAGAAGCGAAATATACAACTATGGAGAGCATGGGAATACGCGCAGAAATGTCTATATTCCAACATATACTAGTGGAGAATGCATACGAAGACAACTTGCTACCAGATATATCCAAGGTAGACTATTTGGAAGGAAATCTGGGTAGAACACATCTAGAACCTTTGGATGGCCTGCCAACATTTGTAGACGACATGTATGTATTTGGCTATCTAGAAGAAAACGATATAGTATCTCTACGGGGATCTGTGTCTTGTATAACTGGAGAAAGTGGATCTGCAAAACGTATACTATAAGAAATACAAATAGCAACGCAGAAAGTATACGGATGTCGCGTGCATGCTACTATTGCAAATACAATTTCCTATATAGGAGGCTCTGGGAGCAAAATACGAGACACAATACAACGAATACAAAAACAAACAGAATACAAAGCGAAGAAAAAATGGATGGAAAGATTTTCCAACAAAGAACCCAAAGGTATATTTGTATGCAAAATAGATGTCTCCGAGTTGTCCCTATAGGCCAGTAGAAATGGTCGGAAACCCGGACATTTTACAGAACAACCAAATTTTATGTTTTTCTGTTTCCTTAAGGTATAGTTGATACCTGCTATCTCACATGGGAAAGTTACTTTTGCAATAGATTTGAGGAGTCTTTCTCCCCTAAACTTGAAGATAGAGTCACTTTTGGTTCTATTTACTTGTCTCACTTTGTCATCCTCAAGTGTGTCTATATAGCAGTTCATCCAAGCTTCACCCGCAACTGTAGAACTGCATGCACTGTCCAAGACTGCAGAGTTTAAAAATTCATTAACAAGAACCTGTAATTCCTCACCCTTATTACCAGTCAGAGTCCGGGCAGTCCTTGATGAAGTGATAAACTGACTCACAAATCTTGCATCAAAGAGGACGTCCATCATGTCCAAGACACAGATCCCCGTAGAGATACTATATCGTTTTCTTCTAGATAGCCAAATACATACATATCGTCTACAAATGTTGGCAGGCCATCCAAAGGATGTGTTCAGGGGCGGTCGGGTAGCCTAGTGGTTAAAGCGTTCGCTCGTCACGCCGAAGACCCGGGTTCGATTCCCGACATTGGTACAATGTGTGAAGCCCATTTCTGGTGTCCCCCGCCGTGATATTGCTGGAATATTGCTAAAAGCGGCGTAAAACCATACTCACTCACTCACTCTAGATGTGTTCTACCCAGATTTCCTTCCAAATAGTCTACCTTGGATATATCTGGTAGCAAATTGTCTTTGTATGCATTCTCCACTAGTATATGTTGGAATATAGACATTTCTGCGCGTATTCCCATGCCCTCCATAGTTGTATATTTCGCTTCTTCCATTTTTGTTCTATACTGTAGTTGGGCACAAATGTTCAATTGGAAATTCGTTGGGCACAGTTGTATGCTTTGGACACATCCTATTGCTCTAGTGGGAAAAAAATATATATTGTAGGGGTGCCGAAATCGGGGGTGCCAAACAAGAAAAAGACGCCTTCTTGATTTCATGACTATCGTTGAATCGCATAGTCATTTTGGCATAAAAATTCCCCCTGTAGTGGTGGTATAGGTATATAAATCTGGCTCCAGTGGAGTTGCGGCAGAACCATCATTACCTATACTACTGTCTGTAATAACGACCTAATTTTACGTATTGTATTTAGATATATTTAGGATTGTATTTGATATTGTATCACCAAAATAAGAAAGGGCTCAGGAAAGGAAATATAGAAATTGCCTACAAAAGACCGAAGATGTAATTACATATTTTAAACGTACATGTACGTTAGAGGAGAATAATTTAGGACCAGCGTTTTGTCACAACTTAAGCAGTTATGTGCTGAGTGTGCTGATTTTAACGCCGCATTGAACAGTAATATCACGGCCTGACAACATTATTGGGAAGCTAATAGATGCAGATCTTCGATGTTTACCATTGTGGTAAACTCAGGAACTCGGGTATGTCGTACACCAACCACGGGTCATAATCAGGGTCATTCTGGGACGCGATTCCTCGACCAGTGTATCCTGGCTAGTCTAAGAGACTCATCTCTGCAAGGCGAATTGCGGCGCCTTACACCCGCGTTCCACCCGTAACATGCCCATTAATAATCACCATGGGTATCGATCCTCTCCGCTGCAGGGTGACGGGTGGACCTGTCGTCTAAGGCGCGACAATTTGCCTGCAGAGTTCCACAGGCGTGCGAGATACCTGTGGTCATGGTATCAAACCTAAATTGTGATCTTGGTTCATCAGCGCAATACCCGTACTCGTGGGTTTCAACAAACTGAATCACTGAGGACTTTTATCCCAGATCAATCTTACACGCCCGTTTATACTAGTAACTCACTCACTCACTCATTCAGTCACTCACTCACTTGTTGACTCTCTGCTGCAGGCGTTGGGATGAGCGATTTGAAGGGGGATGCTGTCGCACAGACGGACCCCGAAAACATCATCTCAAAACAAGACATCTTAGCCGACCTGATCATGCGAGAGTATTGGTCAAATTGTGACATCTTACCTTAAACCTCAATTGAACCCAGTTATAAGACAGATTTAGCATGTTCGTTGATATCATATATATTTCTTGTCACACTGAATGTTACTAAAGGTTTGTCGTCTTAACAAAGCTCATGTTTTATATACGTGTATAAAACTATGTTAGAAAAATGAATATTTATCTGAATTCATCGGAATACATAATTATAATCAAGCTGGTCACAATCGATGTGGCTGCTCCTATATTACATATGTACAGTAAACTACGGTTATAACGAACACGGTTATAACGAACTAACGGATATAACGAACTAACTTTTAAGTCCCGACTATATGCTGTAGTTATGCTGTATATATGCTTATAACGAATTACGGTTATAACGAACTAAAATTAGTAGTCCCTTTGAGTTCGTTATAACCGTAGTTTACTGTAGATGGAGTGAGTGAGTTAGTTAGGTTTAACGACGCTTTCAATAGTATAAGAGTTACATTAAATAGATGTAGGAGGAAAGCCCGAAATGATGCGGGTCTTAGATGTCCACCACTTCAGTGAATGAGTGAGTGAGGTGGATTTAACGTCGCTTTTAACAGTATTCCTGCTTTATCACGGCGTGTCAGCTTGATGTAGGATGAAAGTCCGAAGTGATGCAGGTCTCAGACGCCTACCACTTTGATAAAACCCACGAGCTCGGGTGTGGTGCTGACAAACCTAGAAATATCGGTTCGAGCCGGGATTCGTACCAACGATCACGGGTTCCTGGCGTGCCCAAGGGAAGCAACTATGTGCAGCGAATTGCTGCGCCTTTGACGACTACGCCAACCGTGCCCCCTGCTGCAGAGAGGATTCATGGTATGTGTATAAATCAAGGGCTAAAGTGGTACCTTTTGTGCATTTTTCATGTTTTCCATGGCAACAAGGTTGACTTTGACTCTGTTCATAGTGGTGTGTTTGTCCGGACCATATCTCTAAAAGTAATAGTTATTCTTTCATGACATTTTGCACACACAAAGATCAGGTTGTCAACTGGTGCCTTTTGCTATTAAGGGATTATTATTGTATATTTTTTCTCTTTCAGTTGGTCATTAGTTTGATTTTGACTCTGTTCACAGTGGAGTGTACCAGACATAGAAATATAAAGTTCCGAAACCTAATTCTATAGTATTGTTTTGATAGTTTAATAACAACTTGTATACGCACAGACAGATTAGATAGAAATCCTCTTCAAGTTAAACTTAAAGCTGCAGTCAGATGATTTGTTCTTTCGAATGTGTGGGGTCATCTTCTGAAGACTCTTGTTGGTATAAACACCGGTTAGTTCATTTCTATACTTATGTCCTTGGGTTAAAACACAGATGGCTGTCTGTTATCAGCTTATGTCATAGATGAAAGCTTTAGTTAAATGATTAATCCTATTTTACCCACAGTGTCCTTTGATGTCAATTATATTACCACTAGTCTGTTAACGTAATTAATATAAAGTGATATTAAATGACGCGTGGGTGAGATTATTAACTGTTTCCAATAGAAAATGACCCTGAAGCATTCATTACTGTAACCCCTTGATCAGTGCATTCGCACATTGATGTTTGAGACAATCTTTAAATTCACCTTTTTCAGGCAATATCTTAGAATACAGATTTGGAATATTTTACCTTACCGTTTTATACACAAGCACGAAATATGTATGAAAACAGTTATGATATAATTATTATGACATCGAGCATATGTGTGTTTTTATAACGTCTAATGGAATATATTTCTCAATCGAAAAGTGTAAAGAGAGTTCCGCTTGGTAAGAAATATCACAAGTGTGACGTTTTTTTAACGTTACGACTGCAAAAAGCGTGAGACGTCATGTTATTGCGTTGAACATACCACATGCTAACAGGAAAATGTGAGACATCTGATCAACTGACAAGAAAGATTTTCTTACATTTATTTTATTTATACAAACATTTCAGGAACATCGCACCAAGCAATCTCATCACAGCCTGCTTTCAACAGGTATATATTTTACGATCTCTTATGATAGAAAAAACGTCAGACCGCCTCCTTTGTCTAGTGGTAGAGCGTCCGCCCGGAGAGCGGAAGGTCCGGGGTTCGATTCACGGCCGCGTCATACCAAAAGACGTTAAAAGATGGTACTTGTTACCCTGTCTGGCGCTCGGCATAAAGGGGCTAAAACAAGGACTGGCCGGCTCCGAGTCAGTATACTGTGTCTGAGTGGAGTATTCATGTTAAACTGCGGCATGGTATCTCAGTGAGCTAGCACTATAACTCGGCATTAGTCCGGACTAGTACAAGCAGCCACACACACACAGTGCATGCACGTCGCTATATAAGGGCAATAATCTTGGACGCGACGTTAAACCCAATTTCACCTCACCTCAAAAACGTCATGTAACCGCCAGTAGTGTAATGTAAGGCGCCGAAACATTTTACGGAAAATTATTGATATTGATAAAAATGAAATGAAAATAAAATAACAATGAATGATTTTGTAAAGCACTATGACTGCAAAACATTCTGAAGCATTGAAAGAACGCAATAGCTTCAAGTTAGGATGGTTACTATACGGGGAAAATACTGAAAAGAATAAAGAGATATGAATTTGACCCTGCGATGATTTGTGCATATTAACTAACCCTATATACTATAAATCAGAGTGTTCTCAAAACCCCATCTGTACGTATTTCCCATAACAAAGGATTAAAATATGATTTGCAAAATAGAGATGCTTCTCTCAATATTCAGCTCTCAATCCTAATCACTCCCTCGTGTCAAACAGAAGTAGTTGTAAATGGTTGTATGTTAATCGGATAACTCCATCAATTCTTCAGGCTCAAACAAAGTATGCGATAAAAGAAGAAATCACGATTCGAAACGTGTCTGGCATCCTTGAGAACATCACGACCATCACGAAGACACGTGTCCCTGGCGCCAGTAACTCCCCGAATGCTCTCGGTAAGGTATCACGTGATGAAACAGAAATCTATGTCGGTCTCTTCAGCAATAATTTCATATTTCCAATTATACAACATATTCTTAGCCAATCAAGGAATCTGTTAAAATAGATGTGGGAGGAAAGCCCGAAATGATGCGGGTGTTAGATATCCATCACTTCACTGAATGAGTGAGTGAGTTGGGTTTAACGCCGCTTTTAACAGTATTCCAGTTATATCACGGCGTGTCACTTTAATATAAGAGGAAAGCCCGAAGTGATGCAGGTCTCAGACGTTTACCACTTTGGTGAAACCCACGAGCACGGGTATGGTGCTGACAAACCTAGAAACATAATCGGGGCGAACCGGGATTCGAACCCACAATCATAGGTTTCTGGCGTTCACAAGGGACGCAACTCTTCACAGCAAATTGCGGTGCCGTAGACGAATAAGCTCCCCGGTCCAAGCTCGACAATTTACAGACAATCGTCAAATAGCTGGAATAGTGCTGAGTGCGGCGTTAAACAAGCAAGCAAACAAACGTAACATGTTATGATTTTATATGATGTTTGAATCATGTTTGGATTATCATTGTCACCCTGGCTATAACAAGCAAGAGATTTAGTTCAGTTTGTTATATCTGAAAATCGTTACTTACATGAGGAACGTTAAATAAAGTGTTATAACAAATGATAGTTCGATGATCCGATTATACACCTATGTGTTGGGTCCGCTTTCATTATATCCTAAGTTTAGAGCTTGTGTTGCGCTTGATTTTCGTCACATCCGAAGCTTCATGTTTGACGTTTTCGGGGCTAATGTTGTGCTATGATGTTCGTTACATCCGAAGGTTCATGTTAGACGTGTTCAGGGCTTGTGTTGTGCTATATGATGTTCGCTCTATCCGAAGCTTATTTTTTTACGTTTCTAGGGTTACTGTTGTGCTGTTTGATGTTCGTTATATCCTAAGGTTAATGTTTGACGTTTCTAGAGCTGCTGTTGTGCTGTATGATTAGGAGATAAACATACTGTGTTTTCGATGTAGAGCTAGGTTACCTGTAAAATTAACCGCGCTAAATTGAATTTGAAACCGAATGCGCAGCTTGAGGTTTCAAATATTAAATTTAGCGCTGATGTTGTGCTGTTTGATGTTCGCTACATCCGAAGGTTAATTTTTGACGTTTCTATGGCTACTGTAGTCTTGTATGATGTTCGTTATATCGGAAAGTTAATATTTGACGTGTCCAGGGCTGGTGTTGTGCTGTTTGATGTTCGCTACATCCGAAGGTTAATGTTTGACGTTTCCAGGACTGGTGCTGTGCTGTATGATGTTCGGCATCGCTATATCCACCATAGGGAAGGCAGCCAAACCGTTCTTCGTCTTCTTTGAAGCAGCTACCATTATCATCTTTAAGATCTTGAACTGGCTTATATGGTGAGAGTTTGTTGTAAATGTGTGTTGTAAAACGCCTACTGTAAAACGCCTGCTGTAAACGTCTGATGTAAACGTCTGTTGTAAACAGAATATATGATCATGTATATCATTATCAAATGCGATCAAGAAGGTATCACCTTCATCATAACTTGTTAATAAATTGTTAATAGATGTTATGGTATGTGAATACCCACTTCGTCTATGCCCTAGGCGCATGGGGGAGAGGGGAGGGGTAGGTGGGTGGAAGAAGGGGGGAGTCGTGAGCAGGGATGGTGTGGTGAGGTTGTTCACGTCGCCTTCTGGCAGCGTGCCAGAAGGGTAACACCGTTTGTTCGAATCAGAGACTCGCCCTGATTATTACTCAATTGGCAATTATAAAAGGATAGGATTTGCGGAAAATATTTTCGGAATAGTTAAATTTTGGAAAGCTAATCTGTTAAAATCACAACATCACTTAAGGCACACTTGCAAATCCAAACATTTAACAACAAGTGTGGTTTCTGATAGAAAACGAATAATACAAATGGCTTAACTCTCTTAATCATCCGTTTACGAGTTACGAGCCGTTATCCAATGGACTCTTGAATTAAGTGGCGATATATACCTGTATTTACAATAGGTACACGCCGATTGGAGTTCTAAGTCTGATAGCTGTTGCCATAGCGCGGGCGGATAACATCCTGGAGACGTTCCGATCCCTTGGGCTGTTCGCATGCACTGTGGTGGTCGGCCTGCTCCTCTACCAGTTTCTCATCCTGCCCCTGGGAGTGTTCGCCGTCACCAGACGGAACCCGTACAAGATACAGGCGGAGTACAGTCGAGCCTGGATGGTTACGTTTGCATCGGCTTCATCGTAGGTCAACCCGGCTTATTCCATTACCTTTACCTCACACCCCGGAAAGCATACCTATTACATTATTTACATTTATATAACCGCATACCAATAAATCCATCGACATATAGTTAGTACAACATGACGGCCGAGTTTGAGAATATCTTTCTTAATGGATATTAAAACTGAGGTAAATAATTTGATACCGCGAAAATTGTACATATGAATCATAACTACCTGCAGATTAAGATGTGTAATGGTCACGTGAACGAGTGAAACTATCCAGTACTGTTCCTTTTAAGTTTCCTCCACATGCTGACCTGCTGACAAGGAGTTTCTAAGTATGATACCGGCGTTCCTCTATATTTGTTACAGAGCAGTAGCTATGCCTGAAGGCCTTCTCGCCCTTGAGAGGCTCCACGTCGACAAGAGAGTGGCACAGTTCGTCGTCCCCCTCTCTTCCGCAATTAACAGGGACGGCAGTACGATGTTCATAGCAGCTGCGTGCATCTTTATCAGTCAGATAGAAGGCATGGAAGTAGATGGCAGTAAAGTAATAACGATATGGTATGAAGTATTGAGTTTGTTCAAGGAGACATTTACACACACGAAAAGATCATTCACGTTTGTCTCTGTGCACAAAAGTACATGTGAAGTACACCCACCAGCGTGCAGATACATGCATATATTCATGAACATGTAGACACGTGCGTATATTCACCCATATACAGATACATGATTCATCCATTCACATACAAATACGTGCATACATCCACAAACATACAGATGCATACATCCACCCACATACAGATTCATACATACATCGACCCTCATAGAGATACATACATACATCAACACACATACAGATACATACATACATCCACCGACATCCAGATACATACCTCGACCCTCATAGAGATACATTCATACATCCTACCACATACAGATACATACATACATCCACCCTCATAGAGATACATACATACATACATACATCCTCATACAGATACATGCATACATCAACCCACATACAGATACATGCATACATCCATCCACATACAGATACATGCATACATCAACCCACATACAGATACATGCATATATCCACCCACATACAGATACATGCATACATCCATCCACATACAGAAACATGCACCCATCCATCCGCGTGCAGATTTGTTCTGTATAAATAACATTTATTCAGTAATGTAAATATTACATTTGCGTTTCAGCATATTCATTCTGCGAACCATAAGCTCCACATGACAATGTCGAGTACAAACAAGCGCATGATGCACATACAGAGACATATATGATGAGAAATTATAATTTAGTTGTCATCTGGTGTCTTCGTAATAGTACATTCTGAAGTTGTTGGGTACCATCCACCAGTCATCCACCTTGTAGATTATATAACACGTTACCAATTGGATTGCAGGATTCTGACAGCGGCCCTTTCTCTGGCCGTTCCCGCCCTTCCCAGTTCCAGCATCGTGTGTGTCATCATCATCTTGACCGCCCTTGGTGTACCCATACAGCAAACTGGCCTCCTCTTTGCTCTGGACTGGTTCCTGTAAGTAAATAATCATTAAAATTCATTCATTAATAATTAATAATTAAAAGAAATAAATGCAGCAAAGAGGGTTTGGGTGATCCTGGCACAGTCAGGCTGGTTAGGCTCATCATCATCTCAGGGCCCTTGCCTCCTTTCCACGCATCCCAGACAGCGAATAGGACTTCTTCCAGGAAGCGCTGCACAGTCAAACCCACCCAGAACTTTTCGGAGAATGTGAAGACTCCCCAACACTGCAGCCTTCTATATGACACAGGTTGTCAGAAGGGCTGTATTCCTTGTAGCAAACCTGGGCACTCTCCCAATGTCTGTCAATACATGGGGAGGTACCAAACCTGAGGCACCGAGAACATTTGGGAGTTGGACAACTTGGTACTTGTGATGCAAGCGTGACATTTCGAAAGCGAGGTCCGCATTTTTGCAATGTTTTTCCTCAGTCTTGTCAATCACATTAGTGTCAAAAGGGACAGAAAATTCAATGATATTCAATGGATAGGTTTGAGGCTTTATTCGGGACTTTTCCAAAGTATTGTGTATTTATCATTTTCAATGCCCCCTTTAACATATTCTGGGTCATACTATGGATAGACCTCTGTCTCAGAACCACAAGCATGACGAAGACGGTAATAAAAGGATCGAGCCACTCCATCATACTATGTTTGTGCCAAAGCTGGACATCCAATGACAATGAGTTGGACAGTCTCATTAAATCCATTACATAATGTACATGTCATATTTACATTTTGATGCAAAATCACACACTGACGGTTTGGAGTGGGAAGTGACTGGTCCTGAGCTGCAAACAGAAAGCCTTCTGTTTCACTTTTCAGGCCAGCCGACAAAATCAAAGCGAAGGACTCTGAAGGGTTGCTGACCTTCTCAACACACTGCACATATACTAGGCTACCCGACCGCCCCCAGCAGTACAGAACCATCAACAAAATTAATATTGAGATTAGACTTTGCCTTCCGAATAACAATTCACAACTGACAAGAATTCAAACGGACAAAGGCTTTACAGAGAACAATGATCCAAGAAGTCTGCAAAACAGCAGCAAATGACAGTGTTTATGAGAAATTTCTTGAATCCAAACATGCAGAGATAGCTCCGGCTTTGCTTGAAGGTGGCGAAGTACGATACCTGCCACTTTTCGGAGTGGGCCATCCGCAAAAAACCGGATCAGATACGTGGTGTTTTGAACTCCAGTGCCTTGTCTGATGGCATATCCTTGAACCATGTCCTCTTACAGAGCCCAGACCTAACGAACAGCCTTCTAGGGGTCTTCCTTCGCTTCAGGAAGACACCTATGCCTGTGATGGGAGACATCGAGCAGATGTTTCATTGTTTCCATGTGCGTGAGAACCAGCGAGATTGTGAAGCCCATTTCTGGTGTCCCCCGCCGTGATATTGCTGGAATATTGCTAAAAGCGGCGTAAAACCATACTCACTCACCCACTCACTTATACGAATATGGTGTCATAAATGTTCTACTCCAAACACAGATTTGCCAACTATTTAAACAGTCAAACACACATCTACAACATTCCTTGGTGAAACATTTGATAAGGTCATCAACAACGAGGTGATGTACACACTTCTTCAATTCTGTTTCAAACACTTTGCTCTTCATTTCAATCCATATTTACATATTACCTCTTATTTCAGGAATACAGGTTGCCAAGTCGCTCAACAAATTCGCACTTCAGAGTTGCGTCCCTTGGGCCTGCCAGGAACATGTGTCCGTGGGTGTAAATCCCATATTTATGGAATACTGTAAGTGACATTCTCGCGATCTCGCATTCTCGCGATCTCGACCTTTGGAAACGAGCTCAATATGCCCAAAACACGAGAATGTGAGATCGTGAGAACGCCCCTTACAGTATTCCATAGATATTCACCCTGATTATGTTTTGAGATTGTTTAGCATCAAACGCCTGTTCGTGGGTTCACCAAAGTAATGTCCAAGGCCTGCATCACTTCGGGCTTTCGGCTGACACGCCGTGTTATATCCTAACTAATGCTCATTAGGCATTAAATAAACTCACTCACTCTAATTTCAGAGATCGCATGCGTGGTGGTGTGAACCAAATCAGTATGGGCTACTGTGCAGTTGTCGCCTACCACTTCTCCAAATCTGTACTGCCGAAAGAAGACAGCGACGAGGACAGCATTGAGGCGTAGTTGATGGCATCCGCAGTGACGAGTTTGTTAAGCAGTGCTTTACGAGCACAGGACTTTAACAACACATGTGTCCATGTACTTTACCAGGGAAACTTCATGTAATCTGATCAGAATTGACGGTGGTGTCGGTAGCAGTTATGACACAGGGGGGACAGTACATTTAAAATATCAACGCAAGAAAATAACCAGACTCTATTATACGCCAAAATAGATTCCACAGGGTGCAAAAAACAAAATCACAATTATAATAGTGGATATAATATGTATCTCCAGTTTTGCTTATCTGAATCACCCCTGGAACAAATGGGTTTGTCAATATTTACGAATGTTCGACCCGAATATTTTATAACATACGTTTTTTCCCGGTTCCACTTAAAATTGATATACAAATAGTGTGTAGCAGAATTCTGCACCGTAGCTCTATTGATGTGTGTATTCCTACACCTGGAAAGTTTATCAATCTCGTCATTTTTGTCTGTTTTGATATATACAACTGTTTTTGGTTAAACTATTCTAGATAAAACATGTTTTACGTTGTCGAATTTAATTATAAGTATTGACTGTGTATTTTTTTCTGTTCATTGAGGTATCCGCGTAGCGGATTCTACCAAAAGTTTGCACATCGGTTTTTCGATTCATACCTCAATGAACCGAAAACATTTCACAGTTGATTAACAATACTTTGTGTTTTCTTATTTATGGAATTATGGAAAACTACTTTGTTTTGCGAAGGTGTGAAGAAAATACCTGCAATTGGGTCACTGCGCACTAATTTATCCGGTAATGTAAATCACCTAAAATGTGCGTCACAATAAAATCTGCATCACTTATAAACCATCTGTCTATTTTTGTAACTCGATATGGAGTTTTTGAAATTGTGGTAACACCTCGTAGGAGGTATTACAACCATTGTAACACCTCGCGGGAGGTATTACAACGATTGTAACAGTGAGTGAGTGAGTTGGGTTTAACGCCGCTTTTAACAGTATTCCTGTTATATCGCGGCGTGTCAGCTTAATGTGGGAGGTAAGCCCGAAGTGATGCAGGTCTCAGACGTTTACCACTTCGGTGAAACCCACGAGCACGGGTATGGTGCTGACAAACCTAGAAACATAATCGGGGCGAACCGGGATTCGAACCCACAATCATAGGTTTCTGCCCAAGGGACGCAACTCTGCACAGCGAATCGCGGTGCCTTAGACGACTGGGCCACCCGTGCCCCACAACGATTGTAACACCTCGCAGGGGGGCTTACAATCATTGTAAACCCTTGATAGAACAAAAACTACAACAAGAGATGCCAAGACGTCAAGGCAGTGTTCAAGTCCGGCTTTTCCATTTCCTGCAAACGCTGTGTCAAACAACCAGGATGCAAACGAATATTTTCATTCTCTCCTGTTAGCATCGCTTGAAAATACCCACAGCCCAGTCATTTTTCATTCGAGTTCGCTTAGAAACAGTACCTTTTAACTTCTCTCTCATGATCTCCTCCGTCATTGGTTCCCAAAACGAAATTGAAAATCATCCATGACTTTCTCCTGGGATCGAAATTTTGACTGAGTCAAAAATAACTGTCTCGTTGTCAGACATCCTCTTTTGTCACTGACTGTAAAATGAATAAGCGTCAGTCAAAGCAAAACGTGTAATAGTCTCAGCCTACGAGACGCACGTGCAGATTTCGTGCCATTGCGAGAGGCACGTGCAGATTTCGCACCGTTGCGAAACCCACGTGCTGAGGTCACCGGTTTCTTGGAACCGAGTTCACGACTGCAGGCGATATTTCATCTCCGATACAGGTTATACATTTGAGAGTTTTCATTACAGTTATTTAATTAAAAACGTTGTCTATGCGATGAGTCGGTTTATAAGTTGACAAACCATTTCTCCTCTGTGACATGTCCGGGTTTACAATCGCTGGTAATCCCGAGGAGAAATGGTTTCTCCTATACTAAAACTTCAAAATACGAACTTATATGAAATGGACTTCATATTGTGTTGGTTCACGCATGCTCTGGCTTTTGAACACATCGTCCAAGTTCGTCCTATGTTCCGTGGGGTTTTGGAAGCTGACTTGCACTGTACAGTTCTGCAGAAGGTCTGTATGAACCTGGCTGTGTTTGGACTATCATGCCCAATCACGTTCCTTGAGAAGCGGAATGAGACATGGATAAATAATGGCGCTGACTTAAAGTGGGGAATTGAGGTTTCTATGAACAAGCAAAACCTAGGATCGAAAGCGAACGTTGACGGCCAGCCATATGACGACACATACATAGAACTATTCTTTTACCGATGACTAAGCGCGAGTACAGGTATATGTTTGGGATGTAATATCGCAAACTAAAGATATTTTCGTTTGAAAAGCAAACATATGATACAATGAACTAAGAGTTATAGTTTCCTTTACCCCTGGTTTAGGTAGATTCATAACATCACAAAATGTATGTAGTGCGAGCAGCCCTCGGGTTTGAAACTATACATGGTATATTTGGTAGATGTACATGTATAGGCGTTTGGTTATACTGTTTGTAAACGTTTCGCTGATCCATTTGGTAATATGTTTAATTTTTTCACATATAACTGCCATTCTTCTTTAGCACTTCTACCTTGTGATCTCAAAAAGACCAGTTTCCAAACAGCTGTACCCACGCTTCGGTTATTCCAAGACTTATTGTTTCATATCATCTCTGATGTTGATCTTGTTTTGGATTATCCTCTTTCTGTACAAGTAGGAAACATCAGACGTTATCACTTTTTTTGTCAAAAAGGTCCTGGATTTAGTTTCACATTTGTTCCCGCAATTTCATTTCCCCCTTCTGTGCACGACTTCAAAAAGCAGCATCGGTCACTAAGTGATATATGCTTGGCAAACGAGGCATTATAACCTCAAAGAATTTAATTAATAATGATATGTTATGCTTACAAAGCTGTAACACTTATGTTGAAAAAACAAAAATAATCTTTGATCATTTACAATTAAATTGGTGAGACGGTCTCTGCATCAGTTTTAGTTTGATTCCAAATATTTCCGATTGACCGCAATTCATAGACTTTTCTCCTGCAGACTAGTATCAGATTACTAAACAGATCCGGTTGTCGTGATCAGTTACAGGTAGCAAAGCTTTTCAACCTAATCCCACTGTTGATGTGCCTTCATGCCTTGACTGTATATAGACCGCCTCCGTGGTCTTGTGGTAGAGCGTCCGCCCGGAGAGCGGAAGGTCCAGGGTTCGATCCCGGGCCGCGTCATACAAAAAGACGTTAAAAGATTGTACTTGTTGTTACCCTGTCTGGCGCTCGGCATTAAGGGGCTAAAACAAGGACTGGTCGGCTCGGAGTCAGTATACTGTGTCTGAGTGGGGTATTCATGTTAAACTGCGGCATGGTATCTCAGTGAGCTAGCACTATAAATCGGCATCAGTCCGGACTAGTACAAGCAGCCACACACACACACATACACGTGCATGCACGTCGCTATATAAGTGCAATAATCTTGGACGCGACGTTAAACCCCATTTCACCTCACCTTATGTAATCAAGTTCACATCACCAGGATCAAAAGAAGATTTTTTAGGACTGTAAAGGTACAGGTCAAAGCAGATACGGATAAACAACAGAGCAATGGACGTCTTCATAATGGAGGTGGATGGCCTAGAGAGTCTTGCTAGCTGTGTAATTAATGGCAATTAGGTGATTGAAAAGTAATTTTAGAAATAAAGACAGCATGGCTACGGGAACCCTGGGGTGATTGTCTGTACTTGTGGGTAGTTGCAGGACACACTTTGATTTAATACACAGTTTCCTCCCATTAAATGCCGCGATGTACTATATGATGTTACAAGAGATATTGCAAATGTGATGAACAAATATTTCTCTGTTAAATATCCTGATAAAATTCTCCCTTATATTAAGCTTAAAACAGAAGAATCGGTCTCTACTATCATTCTAACAACAAAGGAAGTTCAAGATGTTCCCCTGTCTGTTGATGTAACTAAAGCAACAGGGCCCGACGGTATCGGCAATACATTATTGAAATTAAGTGCTTCAGCGATATCAGATCCACTTGCTAAATTGTTTAATGTATCTCTGAACAAGTCTACTTTTCCGGTAAGTTGGAAAAAAGCTTCCGTTGTACCTATTGATAAGAAAGGTACTTGAAAAACAGAATCTAGATGCACTATTTGTGGGGCTGTTCGTGGCGCTAGTCACGGTAAACTTTATAAAGAAACAAATCTTCCGTCATTAGAAGAAAGAATGCATTTCCAAATTAAAATATCTTTTATAAAATGGTTAACAATCTAAAACCGGATTATCTCTCATCCTTGTTCCAAATAGAGCGTCGGATGAAAGTGATAATAATTTGAGAAACAGCTCACGGCTGCAAAACATAAAGTGTAAATCAAATAATTATGCCAAATCATTTATTCCAGATACAACTACTATTTGTAACTCACTACCTATTGAATACACCAATGCCAGTAGCTTATGAAGTTTTAAAAGTTTTATAAAAAGCAATGATTAGAACGGTATGTACTTTGATGTAAATAATGCAAAGGTATAATGCGCATGCGCGAGACAGGCAGGTCACGGATTTGAATGCTCCGACTGAAAAGTGAAAAACCTGTCATTTCGTAAGTCTTAATCGCCTTTTACATGTTTTAAATCAGCCCAGATCTTATTCTTGTGCTCCGTCTTCGATTTTACATCAAGAAGAAACTTTTACACGAGATATTTTATACTTGCAACCTCGACTATGTGTGACGTGTTGAGAGACAGTGACAGTGAATTTGTTGAGACGGTCATGGCTGCTACACTCATAAGCCAGTCCACAAGTGAAGACAGATTAGAACGAAAAAGAGCAAGAGACGATGAAAGCAACGAAGGTTGTTCTAGGCAAGACGAATCGAAGAAAATGAAAAGTTCAGGAAATGCGAGCGAGCAGGACACAGTCGGCACAAGCCAACATGGCGGGCTCAGGGAAGTTTCAAATCCAGCCAATGACACTGAAGTTAAAGGCATGCTTACCTTTCTGGTTAAAGAAATGTCACAAATGAGAACTGATCTCAACGACAGAATGTCAAGCTTTGAGAATAATCTAGAAACAAGGCTCACTGAGAAAATAGCAGCAATAATTGACGAGAAGATAAAGTTGGAAATAAACAGGGCGAGAAATGATATAGACTCAAGATTGGATAACTTCGAAAAGAAAATACAACAATTTGAAAAGACTTTCTCAGAAGCTGCAAAATCCAAACCTCAAGACAGGATCATCGAGAGATCTGTTGTTATCAAGAATCTGCAGGTTCACACAGACGAAGCAACGGACCCACAAGTTACAGTTAACAAGGTAACGGCTCTTATCAGGGACGGGTTACACCTACCAGACGTGAATGTCTCTAATGTTGAGAGGAAGAAATCCTATGGTAAATACCCTGGTGTAGTGTTAGCAACTATTGACACTTTGGACCAGAAAACAAAACTTATGAAGGCTAAATCATCTCTGAAGAGCTCCCGTAAGTATAGTAACACTTTCGTTGAAAATTGTACAACGTTGGAGGAGAGAATGCATAGCAACAATATGAGAACATTACTAAAGGAAATTGGGAAGGATAATCTATTTACTGTGAACAGAAGTGGATTTATTTCTAGGAAGAAAAATACCACGACTCCCCGGGCCTAGGGGACCAGGCTTGGTCTGTGGAATGTCGGTGGATGGTCTCTAATGAATGTAAATAACAGACACTTTAGGGAAAATGCAGTTGGGTACTTTGACTATGATATACTATGTCTCTGTGAAACATTTCTACGGGATCAAGAGGAC